AGGAGAGAATAGCTATAGAGTTAGAGGAGGAGAGCATCTTGAGGCCTTGTATCAAGGTGTCGCTTGAGAGGGAGGCCATATAAGGAAGATGAGGGCTCATCTCTATGTATAAGCTATGTATTCTCCATTTCTTTTGCCTTAGTGAAATATTTGATTGATTCCCTCCCGTGGACGTAGATCCAGTTGGATCGAACCACGTAAACGATCTGTGTTTGCTTGTGTTCTTTTTCGTCTCATTTCTATGTCTGGAAGTACATATCTCACAACACTAACCACAGTAAATCACCACCTGTCGATCATTTTTGACTGTCGACAGCCGCTCTCTACTCATTGTCATGAAGCTCTAGGCGGAGTTAAGCCTTACGTTGCAAACCAACAAAGCAATATACAAAATAACAACTAATATCGCAGAGTCACAAAGCAACATACAGAGCAATATATTATCCTGAACACTGTGCTAGTCTAGAAATCAAGTTTTAATAACTACTCCCTGTATGACCACTCTATATTGTGGGGCAATGAGTTTTTTTGTGCAATGTCGTTGAAGCTTGAGAAACTGTGTAATCATTTTCTGTGTATGTGATAAAGGCCCGTACGTGTAATCATCTACTCATAGTGGATTATTAATAAGCTAGGTCTTGTGGTTTTTTTACTTTCAAAAATTTTAACATAAAAATTTAAGGTTTCTATCTGCCAATTTTATTATGGAGTGATACTGAATTTTTGTGCAATATTAAGACAATAGTATATAATTTAGTAGTAGTAGTAGTGTATATAGTAGTAGTGTATATAGTAGTGTGTGTGTATATATATATATATATATCAGAGCAATTTCCATAGCTTTCCCTTGCATTCTTCCCCACATTTTCTCCATCTCCATCACACCTGAAGCAACAACTTTGAGGTGACACCCAATTCTAGTTAATTGATCCTAATCTACGAAAACGCCTCATTAGATACCAATATCCTTTCGACTATTGGCTACTAACTTAATGGGCAATTCAAGCAATTCAACCAATGGTCTCAAGTGTAGGGACTTGGGAACAGTAGAAGCTTGTATCCTTTGTCGTGCATGTGATGATCAAAGTGTTCTCCGTCCAATTTAGATCGGACGGTGTTGATTGCTTCTCCGTACTGGATGACAAATACGTTAAACAGTAGCCGACTCGAGCGGTGATGGACGCAAGCGTTCGCGTACGTGTAACGCGGCCGCGAATTTTTTTTTTTTTAATGAAATTAAATTAAAAAGTTGTAAGATAGCGATAATAGTGCCACGTGGACAATGGATGACCGAGCGATGATCCCACATTGTCCTTATAAAAGGGGTAGCTGCGGCTTCATTTTTGAACGGTGCAGATAGTGAGCCTCTATTGATTCAAAGAAAAATGTCGTGCTGCGGAGGAAACTGTGGATGCGGATCCGACTGCAAGTGCGGATCCGGATGCAATGGGTAATGTTTTATTTGAATCGTTTTGATTTTGATTTTTATGTGATTATTTTTGTATTCGATCGATTTGAATTGATCTTTGTTTTGGTATGGGTGTTCTAGCTGCTGCTTGATGATTTGATTTGATGTGTTTTTGATTTTTTTTTTTAATTTTTGCAAGCATAGTTGTTGTTTTGATAGTTGGATAGACTCTTGATTCATTGCTGGGATTTCTGGTTTTCCGTTTGCCCTGATTATCCATTTTTTCTAATGTTGGCCGACTATTGGAACCTTTTTCCGAGGTGGTTCGTCAAATAATTGAAATACTGTAACAGTTGCTTGCTATTCTGTTGCTGAGGTATTATATGCGACTGAATTGATCCGTGCTATTTGATCGTCCGTTGCAATTGGGTTGCTGTTCTTTTTCATCGGTTTGTTTGTTGTTTTGAAGAATCGTTATCCAGATCTTTTTTATGGATCTTCGTTGTTTTCGGGCTGTACTCTTTTTTTTTTTTTTACCTCTACGAATTTGTTAATTTCGCTCATTTATTCTTTGAGGATTTCTGCTAAGCAAACAAGCAGATGCAGCAACCATCTAAAACTTAAATGAACACGAAAATCCCCAAATAATGGCCAAATTACCTCAGATTTTTATATAATAACAGTTTTCAAAACACAGATGCAAGATGTACCCTGACTTACAGGAGCCAAGCTTCGCCACCAGCCAGACAATAGTCCTCGGAGTTGCTCCTCATAAGGGGTCAGTTCTTCTACCCACTTATTTAAAACTTCCATTCTCTTTTGTTTTCCTTTAAAAAATTTACGCGATTGGTTTATCTGCTGTAGCTTTGAGGCGGTGGGCTTCGAGGCAGCCGGAGCGGAGAACGGTGGCTGCAAGTGTGGCGACAACTGCACCTGCGACCCCTGCAACTGCAAGTGAGATTGAGATCTCCATCGGAGGGAGGAGCCAAGCAGGTTGATGTGCGTGTAAAGCAAGTCTTTTGCTTTCCAGTTCGTGTGCAATAATATATATGGTAGGTTTATGGGCTTCAAGGAGTAGATTGTTTCCTGCTCCCATGGCCAAAGAATCTATTCGGGCAACCCTATACTTCTTATTTCTGCAACTTTAGTCCAGTTTATGCGAGTGAAATTAATAAAGATGATGGCTCCTCTGCTGTATTTAATCGGATTCTGTCATATTATTTTGTTCTTCTTATTTTTCTTACTCTGTGTGGAGCTGGGTTTGAATCGAGTAGTTTATATTAATTAAATATATAAATGAGCTAATAATGTTTTTTTTTAAATAAGTATCTGGATTTTAATATTAACAAAATATGAGAATTTACATAAATGTTATGTTTTTATTTCTATATCTTACGTTTAGTGATAATATTCCTCAAAAAAATTATTTTAATCACGTACAAATCTCAAAATAGCTCGATTTAAATCCCAAACATAAAATCGATATCTTCAAAGTTTCAATGTCATCGAACTTATAATCAAACTAAGTGTATAGACAAGATGAGCCCAAAAATTAAATGGTTCAAATTCGAGTACTATTAAGCCCAAATAAACTGTCAATTAAATGATCAAATAAATTCTAAATTTAATAAGTTTATATTCAAATTGAACTTTCTGATAAGATAAATCCAATGAACTCAAGATTGGTTAAATTTTGATATTGTTATGATAGTTAAATATACAAAAAAATATCATTTGACTAAAGAGATCTCTCTCGACCGTTCGATGGAGTAATCCAAATTCATCCAATGTTTTTGAAGTATTATAATTATAAAATTTATAAATAGATCCTCACTCTCTTCATGAGAAGGACTTGAATGAGAGCTCTAAGCCCTTGAGGGTTTTTGAGCTCCACTATTTTTGAACCACCATTGACTAGACGCCGCAGCTGCCAGACCATTTTTGTCGTTACAGGGCCATCGTTGTCTGACCGACATCGCCATCAGACCACCACTAATCCGACCATGTTGTTGAGCCGAGCCACCAACACCAGTAGACCACCATGTTGGGCCACTATTGTCACCACTCCTGGATGATTGCCTCTCCCACAAGGTTACTGTCATATGCCTGCCTCGGACACCAAACAACTCTCGCCAAGTCACAACCACGGTTGTCATCAGCTACAACAATGACCACTGCCAAATGGCCATCATCGTCGCCGCCGCAAGATCACCGTACCGTTGCCCGACCACCATCATCAAGCTGCCGCAACGTCATTGTCGGAACATTATTGCCAGACCACCGTCCTCTAACTGCTACTAGTATCGAACTACTGTCGTTGCCATCAAACCATTGCTTTGGTTGTCATTGTCGCTGAACCATTACAATCGAATCTCCACTATTTGGCCGCCGCTACCCCCAACCACCATTCCTATCGTCGACACTAACATCGAACTTTCTAGCACATGACCTCTATCATTAGTCTTTCTTCATAATAACTAGGCTGTCATCACTTCTCTGACATTCCACCGTTGCCATAATAGAAGCCACCACCCTCACGTGTAATATTGCTTCCGGCTAGTCGATGGTCAATAAAGTCTTGTAACCTATATTAACATAGTAAAACTGTTTGAATTAAGTTAGACCTCGTGATTTTTAATCTTTCGGATTTTTCAAGAAAAAAATCATATTGTTCACTCTGTCATTTCATGTGCTTATGTCAAATTTTCATAGAATATTAAAACTTTACTAATATGAATTTACCAACATACAACAAGTGATATTTTTATTTATAATGAGTCGGTGTTATAATTACATCAAATTTTTGCATGAACAGGCGCATCTTATTTTTAAAGAATTAGTAATTATAGTATATTTGATGATTGATGTGATATTAAAATATTTGAGTCTTACGTGGAAAATATCAAAATTTATGCATTAAATAATATAAATATATAAGAATATTATTTTATGGCTGCACATAAACTTATATTTATATATCGCACTTCAATTGTGGGAAAAATATTACATCGGGACTCCTAACGTTGAGCTACGTTCGGATTGGAATATTCGACTATATTACGAGAATATTTCATCTGTGTTATTTGTAAAATTGATGTGTTATTCGAGTATTATATGAAGTTATTCGATTATTTTACGGTGTTATTGGAATATTCTATCGCATTACTTAATTTGAGACTATATTATTCGGCATATTTCCCGTGTTATTTAAATTTTCACTATGTTATTGGAATAACACAATCCCAAATGATGTAATGCGAGGGAATATTTCAATAACACTTCACCTAAAATCAAGTAAAGTGATGGAATATTCCAATAACACCGTAAAATAATCGAATAATACCATATAATACTCAAATAACACATCATTTTTACAAATAATACAGATAAAATATTCCAATCCAAACGTAGCTCTACGTTTGGAGTCCTGATGTAATATTTTTCCTCAACTGTGACAACACGGGGTTAGATCATGACTATATATATATATATATATACACATATTTGCCGCAATGCCCAGAGGTACAATTTAATTTGATGTTAGCCTCAGTTTTGACAATTATAGTTAATAATTAATATACTCACAATGCCATATTAATATTGAAGGGTCATCATGGCTAACATAAAAATTAAGGTAATCACAACTGCTTTTCGAAAGTAAACCTAAAATGACATCTTAATTCTTTTTTGTGCATGATTATATGTCAACCCCAAAGAGTGTTTGCCACACTTTAAATAAATGCATATTAAAATTTGTTTTGAGGTTATTGTTATATGTCAGTGCATGATTATAAGTGTTTGTCACTTATTGAAAAGTGATTTGACATCATATTAAATAATTATGATGTCAAATGAAGCTTTAATATTTTCCACCAATCACTTTTTCAATGGCCACTAATGGTAACATTTCATGTTCATCAACGCCTATCAAGGTCTATAAACAAGCCGAGCTTGAGCGAGCACAAACTTGACTCATATTTGGCTATGTTCAGAATTAGCTCATGAAATTGCTCTTGAACAGCATGTTCATGCTCGCCTTGATTTACATATTTTTGTCATGTTCAACTCATTTTCAACTGAAAATTGATTCGTTTAAATTACTAACAAAAATAGATATAAATGTTAAATTCAAATCAGTACCATTTTTTTGCAGTAAAAAGTACAAAATCAATTTCCTTATTTTGAACTAAAACGCGCCGAATAAAATCATACAAAAAGTTATTCACTTTCGACTAGTTTATAATTCTAGCTTAAAAAATTGCTTAACGAGGCTTTGAGCACGATGCACTTCACAAACCAAACACGAGTTATTCATAAACGAGTTTAACAAGAATAAATTTTCCCTATCCCTCAACACTTATTTACAAGACAACCAATTATTTTCTTTTCTATCTATCATGTGAATGATCAAGCTACCTATCATCCATATCCCTCCAACCTCTACCGCAGAAAACAAAGGGCAATCAATTATGAGAAACAAAACATCAAGCTCATGCTTAAAATACAAAAAAATTTGACAAAAATACCATTTAATTCTTTTATATTTACATACTACTATCTAAATTTTAATTTTACATATATACCACTTATGTATGAAAAAGTGCATCACTCTTTAATTTTAAATTAACTGTTAGATATATATAAATACAAGAAATTTTGTGGTATGTTCGCAAATGCCCCTAAATATAATAAAGAACTATAAATTAAGATGCCAAGCTTATGCATTATGAAAGACTTAAAAACTAGAGTGAATACAATAATGTAAGTATATATTAATAAATAATACATTAGAATAAGTTAAAAGGCTAAACTATTATACGATTACCTATATGGTAGATATGTAAATAACATAAGTGATCCTATACCTCCTGTAACTCATAACTGATTCGCAACATTTTTACAAACAACCTGCAAATTACAAATCTAGACAAACAATAACAAGTGCTGGAACTTGAGCAAAAAGTTTCTATGCACATTCATGGACATCTTAACAAATTTTAGACCCAAAATCAACAACTGAGGAGAATCAGAACCTTTCTTCTCATACAAAAAGGCAGAAAATGAAATGGCCAGTATCTGAAGCAGACTCAGGAAGGAGAAGACTCTGCTCCATCATGGAGAGCGCAGCACACAACAGCCTTGTGGTGTCCTTGATACGTTTTTATGGCCTCTCCCGACGACATCGACCATAGTTTTGCAGTGCTATCAGATGATGCTACATGCAAAAAATGGAAATAAATAAATAGAAATGTTCCATGTGTTTATGAGCATAGTTTCCTGTATAAAAGAACATTTAAATTATGCAGATTCATATGGTTAGATCATACCAGTTATTAAGTATGCACCATCAACAGAAAATACACAATCCCAAACCCAGCGCTGATGTCCTGAAGATTTCAAATCTTGTTGTGAGAGTTTATTACTGGGGAAAGGGGTCTATTAAATCAGAGAAGTTTTTCGACAAGTTTAGGGGCTGTTTAGGATCACTTTTGATTTTTATTTATGTTTTCACTTAAAAATAAAATATGTTTAGTATATTATGTTATGAATATTTTTAAAAACAGACTAATTTGATTTTTAAAACAAAAATAAAAAATAAAAGTGATCCTTAACAAACCATTTGCATTCGGCTTGGTAAAACATCAAAGTGAGGTTTTGTTACCTGTCAATACTCTTTCCAAGGTAAATCCATCAACATTCCATATTTTAACTGTGTGATCTGAAGATGCTGTGGCAAGATATCTAGGACATAGTTCCAAGAATCATAAAATAAGTAAACAAACTTGGGCAAAACATAGAAAAATTTCAAGATTCTATTCAATAAGGTGCAACTCTGAATTTGAGTAGGTATGTAAAAATAGTCCTCTAACCGTTTACATGGGGTCAATTTAGTCTGAGAGTCTATGAATATGTTAAATTAGTCTCAATCGTTAAATTGGGGCTCAAATAATACTCCGTGGGATTGTTTCAGCTCTTATTTAAAGATTTTGGAGATTAAATTGACATGTTTATATACTCTGAGATTAAAATGACCCCCCCACAAGTTCGAATGCAAATATCGAAGGAGCACAGGATGTTGCACTACCTGTTCGGATCACAAAATTCAGGCGAAAGCAGGCATTTTAAAATGTAGCCATCATGTGCTTGCAACTTGTGAAGAGGTTCAAAATATGTCATTGTCTGCACAAGATAAAAACAGATAACACGGAACTAAGATGTTTTGAGGTTTTGATACAAATGCAAATTTCAAAATTTTTCTTACCTGCGTCCCCTTAAGTAGCCGCCAGACATAGCACGTTCCACGGTTATTGGCAGCAACAACCATGCTGCCATCCCACATTACTGTTAGAGACCTTACAGCTGTATCGACCTCAGGAACCTGTTACTCAGCACAATAAAGATGATTCAATTTTTATCATTTTATTTTCTAATAATTGGATACAGGTAAAGAAACTAGTATATCAACATCATGTGCCATATGACAAAAGGTAAATGCTTACTAGTTCACAGCTGCAAGAATTTGCAGTCAAATCCCACACACGTATATTTCCATTCTGATCTCCAGATATGAGTTCAGTCTGCGGCGAAAAATGCATTTTAGCGATCATCTAAAAGCTTTCTTCCTCGAGTAGTAAAGTGACAAAATAGTCCTCAGACTCTTTAAATTAAAGAAGAAAGGGGACTATTTTAACTCATATTAACAGATTCCGGGAGATAATTTAGCACTTTTATAGATTCTGGAACTATAATAACTCTTCGCAAAGAATCATGCGACTATTTTGGCACTTTTCTCCTTCAAGTGATCAAAGCTTTTCAGGTAGAAGACGACATCACTACAGAAGTTGTATCACATATCACTTTATATCTTTGAATGGTATATGTAAGTAAAAGAAATTAACAGCTGCCCAATCCTTTGCAAAGAATCAGATGTTAAGTAAAAGAAATTGTCTCTAAAAATATATATATATGTTAATCATAAGTTTAGGTATTAAAAGCTATGATCTTAATGCTCAGCTCAACAGCGCAGATTAAATTGTGGGATGAAATTCCAGAGTCCAACCTGATTTGGATGTAGAACCACTGTGTTAACAGCTGCCCGGCTCTCATACTCACGCTGACAAGTTGCTGCCCTGAAAAAACGGCACATCAAGTATCCAATTTTCATCTCAAGGTCCAGGAAAAACAAATAATAATTAAAAAAATAGAACTTTTAAAGGTACACCACTGGGAACATGTAAATTTAACTGCAGATTCCTAATTTTCGAAGTTATGACAATAACACCCTGATCTATATATGCCATCCACCAGCTCCCTGACTACACTTACATATTTAACACTTTTAGCAGGATTTTCATCACAATTTAACCTAAATCCAGCCAAACGTGAAGAATAACATATCTAAATCCGGTGCTCTGCTAAATCAAATTTTCTCTCCTTTGAGTCTACTTTTTTACATAAATTTGGATTTAGTAAATCCGACTACTAGTGGATTTAAAGGATATAACTTAGGAAGAAAGCACAATAAACCAATTTATTCCAAACACGTCAAACAAATATAATTGGATTTAACCTTAACTGAACCAAACACCATCCTAAATTTAAGAGCATCTTCATCTGATAAATCCGGATACCCGGATATACTAAATCCTATTTAACTTTAAAACCTGATTGCAGCCAAACACCCCCTTAGTCCTACACCATCTAAATTTTCCAAATGCAACAAAACTTGAGTTGGATAAAGATTTAGATGGTGTAACAGTGTAAAACCCCATAGTAATCATGCTAAGGTTCAGGATGAAACAACTATCATGTTGGCTCTCACTAAACCCTAGGCCCCGTTTCTACCTCTCCTACCAGCCACCCCACTCTATTATCAATGCTCCTCTTTCTAGCTCTAAGTTTCTTCAACCTTGCTCTCTTTTGCTCTTGATTTCCTCCCTCTCTCTATAATCCGCATCAAGATCATGTCAAGAAGGCCGTAGTAATCATGCTACGGTTCAGGACAAAACAACTATCATGTTGACTCTCACAATACCCTAGGCCCCATTTCTACATCTCCTACCAGTCACCCCACTCTCTATTATCAATGCTCCACTTTCTAGCTCTAAGTTTCTTCAACCTCTCTCTCTTTTGCTCTTGATTTCCTCCCTCTCTTTACTGCACAGCAAGACCATGCCAAGAAGGCTAAATCGATCCACATTGCTACATTAAGTAGTATCAGAGTCAAATTGTCACACGTATGGATGCAAGTTCCTCAAAAAAAGATTTCGCTCTGTAAAACCCCTCTTTCTATCTAATATAAAACTTTTCTATGTATCCTTTCCTTAAAGTGATCACCTTATGCATTCAAGAAACAGTTCGAACTCAAATCCTATCCTCATGTATAACAATTGAACATCCTAAAAACAACATCTACTTCTCAATTAAGAAAAAAAATTCTAGCTTTTCTTCCTAAATCTTCTCACAGAAGAGTTAGAGAGGGAGAAGAAACCAAAGCTAGAAAGAAAGAGAGAAAAACAATGCTTCTTAATCTTTTCTTAACAGTTGTAGTTTTAGAACATTCTTTTTATCACCAGCTCACAGATTTGAATACTTCAGTAAGATCCAGCAGAATGAAACCATTAAAATTCCACTGTACTCCAAGCCTTCAAACAAATTACACTAAAAGTTTATGAAACAGAACCAAGAAATCATAATGAAAGGTCAAAGATTTTTCCAGTGTATCCCTCTGTCACAAGAGGGAAAAACTTTGAGAAATTGTCAGATTCCATCAATCGTAACCAAATGGCCATGCTTGAACAACAAAAACAATCTCTCTACTAAGAAGGGTAAAGCTGCAAATGTTAATCTTTCCTTGGGATTCATACTGCCAGAAACCTTATGCACTGAGTACGCTCTTTCTCAAACTATTAAATGAATTTCTCAGAGGAAAATCTCCTGTTGTATTTTTGATTGAATAAAAGAGTCTATGTTGGCATTCAAGATGAAAATAAAAAGGAAGTAAATGAGGAGAATATCTGCACTTAAGGATATAAAAGCATATCTTCCTGACGAGATATTCACCTAATATAAAAACACTTACTAGTCTATCATATGTCAAATATATTTGTTAGCTCTAGCTATTACATAAACAAGAAAAAAACGGATGACAAAAGTTTTGGTAAAGATATTTGCGACTTATTTCAAACTAGAAATATAAAGAATAACAATCTTCATAAAAAGCATAACATCGCATATGTAACGATAATCAACTTTGATAAGTATATTTTGTAAAACTATGGTTGTTGGCAATCTAGATGGCAAAACAACAATCAAAGGACAATGGCAATGGTTGAGTAACCAAAAAGTCAAATTATTCTAAGATAATTTAGAAAATTTTTACCAATGTCATTCACATGCAGAGTTAACCATAGCTCTAAATGCAACCTTAACATTGTATTTGACCATAACAATGAGTTTATTACTTGTATGGATTATGAGATTATCTCCAACAAATACAGAATATTTTGTTGTGACTTATCATGTTCAACTAAACTAGCAAAGTCATCATCCATAAATGAATGTACATTCAAATGTTCAATCCTTTTCAAATAAATTTTGATATACTCGAAATTTATATGAAGCATCAATCTCCTTAATAACATTTTGTATTTTGGAACACTATTTATTTGAGATCAATATGAACAAGAGGTTTGGTAAATAAGCATATTGTCAAAACAAAATGTGTGAAATTAAGATTACATAAATTCTAAAGTATTATCAATACACACAGTTTTAATTAACAAAGAAAATTTATTATTTTTCCTTAATAAACATTTTGAGATATATGACCACTAATTGGCATTTGATCAAGTAACCATATAAAGATGTAATAAAAATTAAAGTCCAGTGTGTAAGAATGAGACAAGGAACATAAAGGTTGGAAGAAAAAGCTAACAAAAGTCAATGACTATTAGTAGAAGGAGAAAAATACAAACGATAGTTTTTATCAAACTCGTAGAGATAGCTTTAGTGGATTTAAAGAAAGAGGTAACATGAGACACTAAACTAGATGACTGAAAATATTAAATTAGACGATCACAAGTCTTCTTGGGAGAGATTAACCGGTTTAAAAAAAAGGTAAAAAGAGAAATATCAAGCTAGTCCCCACAAGTAAACACCAAGATCGAACCAGAGCAAGGAATACACAACCTAACCTATCTCCCTTCCTCCACACACCTCAAGTTCCCGTCATTATCACTGCAGCGTGAGGGAGAATCCCGCTCGTAGGATTCTTTAAGAAGGGCTTGTTATGGCAAAAAAGGTTAAGAGAGAAAAAGGGGTAAAGGAAGTACAGGGTAAGATGTAACTCATTGGATGGTTTATTGAAAGGGTCGAGGAGGCTCCACTCTTTTCTACATAGTATCAGAGCAAGTTACACTAGGTAATGGTCAGGTCACCAACTATTCCATACGGGATCTTGCGTCCTTCCCACCCCCACAAGTAAGCTCAATCTTCCATCCCTCTATCAAGTTCCTCATCTATCTCACAACCTCCTTTCAGTCGAAAAGCTTGCCCAAGAAAAAAAACTGCATTTTATCTTTTGATACTAAAAACTATTATATACAGGATCAAAAGACACAGAAATCATTATTTACAGGCCCAGTCGCCTGTATACAATTCAAGCTCTCCACACCTCCACATCCTCAATCAACTGCCATCAATGGCTTGGTCATCCTCACCATCGAACGCTATCTCTCATCTCTAGAGAATCCCCTCAACTATGCATCTCTACCTCTCCATCCACCATGCCCGACATGCCACTAGAACAAATGTCATAAATTAGCTTTTCCTACTAATAACACTTATAATACTTCTAGTGTCTTTTAGAACTTATTCATTTTGATGTTTGAGAACCCTTTCCCCTAATTTAAATCAATGGATATAGATATTACATATCATTTATAGATGTTTATTCTTGCTTATGTTGGATATTTCCCATGAACAACAAATCAGAGACCACCACACATTTCATTCATCTTCACCAGTATCTAATCAACAACTTATATAAAAAATTCAAAATCCTCCACAATGATAGGGGAGGAGAATACACCTCTCACCAACTAAAGATGACATAACACATCAATTTTCATGCCTATATACACCACAACAAAATGGCCTAGTGGAACGCAAACACAAACACATTATTGAAACAACAATAACTCTACTCAATGTGGCTAATCTATCTCAATCCTTCGAAATGGAAAAAATTCTAACCGCAATTCATCTCAACAACATTCTTCCCTCTAAAACAACTCACAATAATCCCCTCATGAACTCCTCTACAAACCTAAACCAATGTATGACTATCTCTGCACATTTGGATGTGCTTGCTTTCCTTAGCAGGAACCACAAATGACAAACAAATTTAAAATCAAAGGCCCCTGCACATTTATAGGATACAACCCTCAACACAAAGGATGCAAATGCTAGGACCCCTCCACAAACAAAACTATCATCTGCAGGCACGTCACCTTCGTTGAAACCACATTCCCATTTCAACAACCAAACCCACGACATCTAACTACAGAACACATTTCACCACAACCACCACCCTCCCTACTAGTTCCAACATCAACCTTAAACAGTCCCACCACCACTTTATCATCCCAGATACAAGAAACCTAAACCCAAAATAACCCACTGTCCGTAAATCTAACACCAACACAACAATCAACAACACATATTCCACTCAAAACACACACACAACTTCATTCAATGGTCACAAGAACAAAAACAAGAACCCTCAAACCTCAAAAAATCCTTAAACTCATCCACACAACAAATCCAATTGACCCCACTTCCAACTCCCAAGCAAGCAAGTTTCCTCACTGGCGTCAAGCGATGTCTACTGAGTTTTCAGCACTTCAACAACAGGGAACTTGGTCGTTGGTCCCACCACCCACAGATCATACTATTCTAGGCTACAAATGGACCCACAAAACCAAAAATTACTCAAACGACATCATTGCCAAATAAAAGACACGCCTAGTAGCTCAAGTGTGTTCACAAAGAACAGGAATAGACTACACCGAGACATTCACTCTAGTGGCAAAATTCCCAACATAACACATGCTGCTAGCCCTAACAGCCACACATAAATGGGAAGTTCGACAATTAGATGTGTCCAATGAATTTCTCCATGGCAAGCTCGAAGATAAACAGCATCCTAAACCTTGAGTCAATGGCATCCTTATTTAAACCAAACAACACATTAAAGTAGTCCTCCTAGTTTTTGTCGATGGCATCCTTATCACAGGTAACTCACCAACTCCCATCGCATCTCTAATTCAGAAATTAAGCAACCATTTGCACATCAAACAACTTGGACCCATATCCCAATTTTTAGGACTCCAAGTCCATCACACACCCATTGGATACTTCCTCGAACAAAGTAAATATATATCAGATATCCTCCACGGCACATGAATGGCTGACTCCAAGTCTGTTGTTACTCCACTCCCCTCATCTAGACACACAACCATTGACACCACCCTCCACACAGACCCACAACATTTTCGTCAAACCATTGGCTCTCTACAATATCTCATAGTCGCACGCCCAGACATCACTTGCACAGTAAACTTCCTCAGCCAACACATACATCAATTCCAAGCTCACCACAACTAACTCCTCAAACGTCTCCTGCGCTACCTCAACGACACCCACCATCACTGAGTACCAATACCTCAGGGGACCTAACACTCAGAGCTTACTTAAATGCAGATTGGGCCACCAATCTAGATGATTGAAGATCTATCACAAGATTCTGTATTTTTCTAGGCCCGAACCTTATTTCCTGGTCCACAATGAACAACCAATCGTCACAACATCATCTGCCAAAGCAGAATGCAGAGCCCTGGCCTAAATTACAATCGACATCCTCTAGCTAAGTCGCTTGCTAAAAGAACTAACAATCTTCAAGCCTCCACCAACATCACCATACAACGACAACATCTCAACCAAACACTGACACACAACCCAGCCACAGAACCAAACATATCAAGGTGAACCACCACTTCATAAGGGATCACATTGAAAATGTATTTTGCAAGAGCATAACAAACAATATGATGAAAGTAAAATAAAAATGACTCTAATAAAATATATATATAGATAAAAGATTTCATAATTCTATTTGATACACTTATTGAGATTTGGAGAGTTATGGAGATATTGCAATGATTTGGTTAACAAATCATTTCAACATAAATTTTACAACAAAGAATTAGAGGATCAGTATTTTAGAACAAAAATAATTCTCCAAATTGTATCAAATATATAACAAGTTTTCTATTCTAATGACAAATAAAAAAAAATTGTGTAAAACATAGGAGTTAAAACTTATGAGACATACAATAAAGCTAGTGGAGAAAGTAATGAAATAAAAACTTAGAAATTGCATTAATTTTGGCGAACTAATTTAGTTTCAAACCAAATCTACAAGGAAATAGATTTATGTACTGAAAAAAAAAACGGAGAAATAAAAAAAAAAAAAAAACAAAGAAATGATCTTCATATGATTTTAAAAGATCTCGATTTTTATTGATTTGGAGGTAAGAATATGGTTAAGTAGAATAGAAGTCCATAATGATTTTGCGAAAAATAAACTCACCAACTCAGACAGCCCTCAATAAGAAGTGCAAAATTGTCAAGTCCTAGGGAGTGAGCAAGGAGTGCAAGACTGTGAGAAGATATGCAGGTTAGAGCAGGGAGTGAGCACACAAACGAGAACAAAAGTGAGCACGCAAGTGTAAGGAAAGGGTAGGTGTGCAGTGAGTGCAGACATGAATGCGGGAACAGTGAGGGTGTAGCTAAAGGCATGGAAAGAGTACCAGCAGAGTGGGCGTGTCAGCACGAGCAAGGGATTACAGGCATGCAAGTGGGTAAGCGGCATGCCTGAGGAAAGCAGATATAGATATAACAATGTTGGTGAAGGGGGGAGTTGACCAGGGTAAGATCAACCTTGCTTTAATACCATGTTTGAGAAAGCATTTCTTGTTCTAATATTGACCGAATATAAGAGCCCGTATATAAGCATATGATAAATATAGGGAAAAAAACAAATAAAGAGAATATCTACGATTATGAGAATATAAATGCATACATTTATAATAAAAATATTCTACAAAAATAAAACTTTCTAATATATATTCTCTAATATACCAACAAATAACCTGACTTCCCCATTATAGCAATAACATCATAATACCTTAAATCCCATATTTTAACAGTGCCATCTTCAGAGCCTGAATACATCCAATTGCCATCACATTGAAATCCAACTGCCATGACATTATTACTATGTGAATCATAGCTCAAAACCTGGCAACATAAACCAAAGAAGGCAATTGTAAAAACTATTAGGATCTATCAAGAAGAAAATAAAAATGAATAAAAAATGGACATACTGGCTGAGGAGTGTTTGAGTTGACATCAAAAAGTCGAATGTGGGGATTTCCAGCAGCGGCCAAGAATCGCTTATCTGGGGTAATCTCAAGCCGATTGACTTGCTGCAACAATCATATTGACTATTTGGTTATATAAAAAATTTAATTTCAAGAAATAAAAGCAATAGCTCCAAAAACAAAAAAAATGCTTATAAAAGTAATCGCTTTGTCACTTTTTAAGCAATAAAAGGGAAGAATGACACCTCAAGTTCATGACATTGATTTGAATAAACATAAATTTTAATGCTAAAGACATCAAAAACTAAAATGCAAAACTCTTGTTCATATGCTTGGCACTTGCATTTATAATTAAAAATGATATTGTGTCTATTGTCATCATAAAAAAAATTGCAACTCTGATTAATCCTAGAATCACTATGCTATGAATACCATGTATTTGAACATTTTAACTCTACATCTCACAAATAGCCCGACAATATTTAGAAGATTTTCCTGCTATCAACACATATCAATTTGATAGCGAGATACACAGTAAAATGCCAAGTCTAAACATATGGTTCATGACCACAACAAATAAACATATGCAACACAACATAATATTAAGTTAATCTCGAACTCCATAAATTATGAGTTTGAAAGAAAACCTTTATGATTATATTTACTTGAGACGTCACAATACAGAGGACCATAAATTTCTCACTCAATTGTGAGCAAGGAAAGTAATTTAGTTGAATTTCAAAGTTAATAAACTTTCAAATGGTAGTATATTTTCCAAAATGCATCATAAAATTCTAAATTTAAATAGAAATTTCAATAACCACACGATTAGCATCAAATGACACACTATTAATAATAAAAAATACATAAATGGCACATTTCATTCCCCTATCACCTCAACTACTCAAAACAATGTGATAATTAATCGAAGAGCTAAAGGCGCTTTCACATATACTAAGCATGGCCATTCAACCAATGCAAGATAAGAAAAAAAAAATCAAATGATTGGAACAAAAACAAAATGTTAGTACAATCAACAAGTAATAGACAAACATGGAGGCATCAACAATAATTGCTCATATATTTGCAAAACTAACTAACATGGATACAATTGAAGAAGAACAAAACCTCGTTTAAAATTACATAAAGCATCATTACTTGTAGCATCAATTTTGTTTAAGTTATAGAAGATGCAAACTACGCAAACACCCATATATTTAGTAAATGGAGATGTACACTTGGGAAAAATGGATGAAAGAAACAATACCCCAAAATAGGTATTGAAAAATGGTTCAATGTGCTATCTTAATGCTCTAGGGTAAGACGAAATAAGTTCTAGTCAACTTCTCTAAGTTGAAGGGGTTAGAAAGGTTGAATTTTATTTTCTCATGGGAAACAAAAACACAAGGGTTTGTTTCATTAGATGGCACAGCTATGGAAGGTCAAGTTATTAGAAGAATTTAGTTGTTAGCTTTTCTAAGACCTTTAAAGAATACTTCTATAAATGAATTTTAGATTAAAATTTTACAACAACTAGGTATTGTCAAATATTTTAACATCTAGATGTTAAACTATTTGATAAGAAAGAAAAAACTCATCGCAAAAAATTAAACTCAAAATCATATTTCATCCTTATAGTCAGTATTACATTGTTTAAATAATATAGCATTAAATCAAACACACTACATTTGTTAGATAGCAGCACTACCATTTATATAACACTGTTGTTTACATAGCATTGAATCTAACAACCCCTAAGAATTTCATGGACACAGTACCTAATGAGCAAAAAAAAAAAAAAAAAAGGAAAAACTATTAAAGTAACAAATTGTAAACTAGAAAGAGAGTATTTATTGATCTTTTATGAAAAGATTTTCATTTTTCAATAAAAAAGTAAAACTAAAGACTTGCTAACAAAAAAAAATGTGACTGGTATAAAATGAGTTCCCAAAAAAATAAAAAAGATGCCATTTTTTCCCAAAGACAACAAAAATAGAATCAGAAACCAACAAAAGATAAAAACTCACAGAATCAGGATATTGCAGGGTACGGTAGCATCTCCCACTCTTGGCCTCCCAGAACCTAATGGTGTGATCATAGCCAGCTGTAGCCAGAATCACAGAGGGCTGGCTCATCTTCAACCCCTTGAAACAATGCGTAAGGAGGAGAAGAAAAGAATAAATACATATGCCTATAAATCAACCTCATTTCCAGCCAGAACAGACAAACACTAGATCCCATTTACCTTCAAAAGCGCAAGAGAACACAGGCGAACCGCATTAGCCCCAAAACACTGCATTATGCGATTAAATTAATTAGAAATGAACAATAAATAAAAACAATTAAAAAAAATCTAATTTTTTTCATCCTTCGAAAGAAAAAATCAACGCAAATCTGCCTGAGAGAAGGTCGGATATCACCAAAAAGCATAAGGAGAAAGCTGATAAAATTGTTTGAGCAGCATGCGAATCAAAGATTCGGTCCTATACCTCAGTTCTCAGAGTTCGCCGGAATCCGGCCGGTGATTAACGGAGATAATAGGTAGCTCTCCATCTCTTGCGGGGTCTCTGCAATTCTATTCGCGTTCAAGGTTTTGGTCAAGGCGGATGGAGGCGACGAAACACGAATAGACGATTAACCCAAACAGCAAAAAAGGGAAAATAAATAGTAACTTAACATACATACCACTTTATTTCTATATTTTTACATATGCAAAGCCTAACCTCCAATATATTTACATACATTCATATCAGTCATTATTATAGCAACACCTATAATATATAATATATTATGTTACCTATGCAGGAAGAAGTGTATTTCATTTTTATGAAATATTCGAATAACATTAATACAAATAGTAGAGATTACGGTATTTGGTAGTACCCTTTTAATAGAATTTAGTCATGCATTTAACTTAAATCCAACCAAACACTAACAAATGAAAATGAAATCCGGATTTTCAGCTCCTCCTATCTTGTCTTTCCAACAGACGTTATGTCTTCTCCATGCCCCTTTTGTTTTCAAATCAGAATTTTGCAATCCGGATTTCATAAATCTCATGGAAAGGCATATTTAATGGATTTCGAAGACAAACCCTTATTAACCGTGTGATGTTGCCCACGCTTGATCATGATTCGAAGATGATTTGATTATGTTTGACTAAAATTTTATCATAGTTCAAAGATATTCCATCACGAAATAAAGGTGCCCCGATTACACTTCGAACATGATTTAAATATGTTTAATTATGGTTTAAAGGAGAACCGTGATGGTTTTAACATGGTTTGAAGATGTTCCATCAATGTTCGGTTTATTTTACCCACATTATTTATTCATGGAATTAATTCATTTTCATTATTTTGATGTGTATGTAAATGTTTGCTCTAATCATATATTTGAATATATTATATTGCTCGAGTCATATATAAAGCTTGTAGTGATGAAAAAAAGTTGTTGGATAATTATGCATAATGATCTCATTGTTAAGGCCAAAGAGATTAAGTGTAATTTATAATTTAAAATTAAATAAAAAACTTTTGTATACTTAGGCATATAACATTTAAAGTTATAAGTAACAAAATGAGACCCACCATTTTTAGGGTATAAACGAGAAAGGGGGCAAAAGTACAAGCAATTATAAGTTAATTCAAGCCCTCATACAAAGAGCTGAAGTAGCTAATTAATGTATTAGAGTTGAAATGCAGCCAGCTTAAATTTGAGAATAATTAAATAAAATTGAAGTTGAGATTGGATGATTAGACCAATCACCAATCTTGCTTAAAAATTTGTTTGAAAGAGAGGGAAGAGGGATGAGAATGATGATGTATTTTTTATCAATATATAATCATTATATATATAAGGATGGCTTTATTCTATAAGTATAATAATGTAAGTCATTTAAGCTATTATAAAAAAAATTAAATAATTTGAGTATTTCTCTCATATATGATTTGATGTGTGCTTTATATTTAATTAATAGTAATAATTGTGGATTGGATAAAATACACATAATAATAGGCCTAATTTCAAAGAAATTTTTCTAAAAGTTATATTAAAGTCTATATTATTCTATAAAGATTGTTTATGTGTAGTTGAAATCATAATAGTATAAATCTATATATACATTTAAAAATACCATATATATATATATATATATATATATATAAAGGTGAAATCAATTTAAAAAGACCAGTGGGCACAAATATCGATTCTTCCATATGGGCTGAAAACTTGATGTGTTTGATTCTGATTTAAAGAGCCCGCGCCAAGGGATTCGAACCCTGATTCAAGCGACTTATGTAAGAGGCCACAACAATGATCCAGAACTTTCGCGCGCGCGCGCACACACGCGAGCGCGCACACTTAATTGTCCACTATTGTTTATTTACCTCCACTGTAGATATATGTCCTTTAATTGATCATTTTATATATATCTATTATGTTATAGCACTTCAATTATACTTTGTTATATTGTGATTGTTTATATGATTACTTAAATAAGTTAGTTTGACATTTGCTTATCAGCTATAAGTCCCCTCTGGTCTAGGGTTCAAATCCCTTGAGTGTTGTGTGTTACTCAAATTCTTAGGCGCATGAGGGATGACAAGGCTCGTATAACAATCTCCGATTATTTCTTTTTTTAAAAAAAAAGAAATAGTCGGAGGCCTGTTAGTTGGCGGGGTTCACTGTAAATCTCCTCAGGTCACGGTTTCGATCCCTCGTGGTCCGATATTCTCGAATAGTTGGACACATGGCGTGGGATCTCATCATGGGGCCTTGAAGTGCATAGGAAATCGATATTTGAGCTTCTGCCAAATATCAATTTTCTTTTTTAATATATATATAAATATATATAGAAAATTGATTGACGTTCGGAGACTGCTGATCAACCCCAATAGGTTGGACTGACCGAGGGAAGGAGCCCCCTTCCAATCCGTGTGCAATTCGAATCCGCCTGAAAGGGCTGGGATTTGAACCCCTTGACCCGAGGGTCTTACGCCAAGACTGCTACCAATAAGTCAAGTCTCGCATGCGCGCACGCACACATACACACACACAAATATATATATATATATATATATATATATATATCGTAAGTAAGCTATGTTTGAACCTTATTCAAACTATTATCAAACCTCAATGAAATTATGATTAACCCTTATTTCAACATGGTTCTATTCTTCTTGTTCTAAGTCAGTTTGAACTTGTTAGCATCTTATTCAAACCCCGTTTTAATCATACTCAAATAAAGTTTAAATATAAGTTAAATCATGCTCGAATATGGTTCCAACCCTGCTAAAAAATACTTCTAACGTGGTTCAAACAGTGTCTAAACTTCCTCAAATATGTTGAGGCAAACTTCTAATAAATAGTTCATAGTCAAAGGGGATGATATTTTGATCGAAGAAACATACTCTCGGGCATATTTTTCTAATAAAAATAAAGAAAGAATACATTTCTCCAATCATTACTGTTATAAGATATAAAGTCAAATTTTCTTTATATATTTGAAATGATCGAAGAGTAATAGTCGATATTGCGCTTGTGAATAGGCCTTCATCATAGCATGTCACAGAGAGTGATGAAGAGGAGCAATGGATAATGAGGTGAGAGAGCAACACTAGTAGGGTTCGGCATGAGTGAGTTTAGAAAGGTTAGGGCTTTAGGATGCAATTTTAAGGAAATTTACATCCATTTGGAGTTTGACATATTTCTTTAACACTACAGTAATGAATTTATTTAAGCATAAATACCATTAAAATTCATATTCCAAACTTAAAAAATAATTTAATCAAACTAAAATTTTTCATTAACTAGTATTAAAATATTTTTTTGTCTCATTCATATCACTTTGATCTCTCTCTCTCTCACACACACACAACACACTCTCACTCATTGGCCAAAACAAACCCAACTTAAAAACCATGTAGAGTAGATTCTTGGCATATTTATAGAATAATCTAAAGCTTATTTGGCCCAAAGTGAGCTCTCCACAAGAACAATCCTGTGGAAATTATCATGCACCTATCATGTGCTAAGTTCCATATGCATAGAAGTTGCATTTACCAGCATATAATGGGTGTTTGCAACGAGAAATCATACATACAAAGAGCTTAAAACTCATCATTCATGATCAAAATTTGTAATATTATTAAATTAATGCACTAAATGATATATACAAAATGCTTAAAAATTATCTAGCTGAAAAAAAAAATGTCCATTAAACCCCTGCACATGTTGCTTTTCCATCATAACTCTAATCACATAATTGTGTAATTTTAATTAACCATTTTTTGCAAAAAAGAGTTTGAATTGTAAGTTCAAATATTAAAGCAGAAGTTTCATCAATATATATATTATCACAAGGCTCATCTGGTAGAATCATAAACAAATCATTACATAATTTGTTAATGATTACATTTGTAACCTCAACACCAACACTAGAGAAGTCAAAAAAACTTTTTCCAAAACTAAGTTCATTTATTACTTGTTAGCTCGGCACAGAAGAATGTTGCAATAAATTGATGAAGATCTGAAGAAAAGCATAATAACCAGAGAAGAGTTGCAGATCATGAAAAGAGGAATGAATTCAATAAAATGTTCACTTATATTGACATTTTATATATGTACAAAGGAAGCATAGCACCTTACAAATATTTAAATAGATACGTTGAGTTAAAATATGCAGGCACAGAACGAGACAGATGGAGGATTGTGAAGATGGATGGCATTTGAACACAAAAAAGACTACACATTTGAATTTAAAAACCTGCACCAGACAAAGAAAAATGATGTAATTGTATTCGTTTAATCTGAATTTATGATAAAAAAAGAAAGAAAGAACAGTAGAACAATAATTCACGGAGCAGTTACTGATATAAATAAACTGGTGATAAAAATATTGAAAATAGAAAGAGCTAATTTTCTCCTAGGACTGAGAAGAAGCATGCTTGTCATGATTTTCTTTTTATATTTATCACCTTAGAAAAGTTTCAAACTCGTGACGCCATACAGTTGATTGTCATATACATAATAAAAATTATATGTAGATTGAAATTTTATCAAACTTTTATATTAGTTCGGAGTCTATTTGGGGTAGCTGCAATTTTTTAAGAAAGTGGTTGTAAAACTGTAGTGGAAAAAATAACATCTTAGAAAACTGCAGTGAAAATTATAAATATATAATATATAATTTTTCCAAAAAAACATACAGCAACTTTCTCACCGTCACCGCAATAACAACCCAGGTTAAAAAAAAACAGCTTCCCACAACAAAAATTTGTAAGCAACAGTTCCTTAGCGACAAAAAAAAAAAAAAAAAAAAAAAAAATCAAAACAAACCTTAATCATGTATTGAGAAACAGAAAAAAAAGGGCAAAAAGAATGCCTTAAAAAGTTTGATTTTACTATCATATTTCACTAATTAAAATATCATCAATAGCCAAGGTATCAACAACCAAGCATTTAAATCCAAGTAAACTAATAGTCCACAAGAGCTTAAATCACGATTACTTTATCACCCACTACCAAAATTTTAATACAATCAATTGATGATTAAGGAAAATACTGACATGCGTGCTACCTTATTGGTAATGGGACAAACCAAAGGGTCATACTCCGGAAGTTTTGCACAGACACAGTGGGGTATTAACATCCAACTTTTTAATAGTTTTGGAGAAGCGAGTGAGTGCCTTTACAAATCCATCCAACAAATTAATACTTCCATATTTTGCAAAACTGTATATCAATGTTGGAGGGTCAGGAATGCAAAAAAAACATGGAAGATCTCACCGCACACCCACATTTATGGCAACAAAAGCAATTGTGTCGCTCACAAAGATGTACACTTATCCATCAAAAGGTGTAGTGCACACCCACATTTATGGCAACAAAAGAAATTGTGTCACTCACAAAGATATACACTTATGCATCAAAAGGAGTAGTAGGGCACTAGCCAGTCTAGTCGGCTTTCCACCAACTCATCCTGGTGTCCCCCCTCTCCTGATTGGCTTAAGATTAATGTTTATGGAGCATTTCTTTCTTCACATTTGACAAGCACAACCGTCGTTATCAGATATGAGATTGGGGAAAGCTTACTAGCAGACAACACACACATGGAGCACTTGGACAGTGTAAAAGTGGAATTACAAGCGTTTCTCTCAATAAAAGACCTCATGGAACCTTGGATGCCTGACATTGCCTTGCTCATTTTAATCAAGTAATTTTCAGGTATATCCCAAGACATTGTAATAAGGTTGCACACATTTGTGAAACTCTAGCTTTTCAAGATAATTTTTTGTTGTGGGAAGGTTTTGAAAACTCATGTTTTGCATCCCTTTATTTGTGACGATAGGCCTAGTCTTGATAATGCCAAATGACAATTCTTTTGTAATTTGCTTTTAGTTTTAATAATATGCATCATGCACCCTTTCAAGAATGATGTTGCCGCATGAGGTTAGGTAATTATGGGCAATGTGATTTCTGCATGTTGTTGAAGTATTGGGACCAGTCTTAAGATTTGGATTTAAAAGCAATTGTTTTATTCTATAAAAGTCTGCAATTCCGTTGCGCCAGAGAATGGCATTTATGCTAAAACTAAGGCTAATTTTGCGCCCATTATATATAATAATTTAGGTATAGTAAGTATTCAAATAAATAATCAATAAACGCTATTCAGCTTTCAATTCAATAGAATTTCTGATTCTAATTTCAACTTGTGTGCATGTTGGATTTGTGATTCCTTGACAACCTAATTCTGAGGAAAGCATTCCGCTCTTACCAGTATAAGACCTAAATTTTCTTTACTTGGGTGAAGTGATCCTTTAGCTAGTTTCTTCTAAATAATTTGTTATAGCCTTGTAGGCTTCGCAGAGTTCTTGAATTTATTCGAAATTGATACAAATGAAATTCTATTCCTAAGAAAAAAAAATGCTTTTTAATTTTGTATGGCTCTAATTTCATTTTCTTCAGATTTATTATAACATTGCACAATTATTTGGATCATATTCTTATATTTTCCAAGTTTCGTCTTAAAAAAAGTAAGATTTTTTTTTAAAATTAATACTCTTTAATCTACGAATCCTATTTTCAATTGTGTGACCTACATTCATTTCCTAATTCCAATTGCAAAAGAAAACCTAAACCATAAACCACCTCGCTCAAACTGACATTACAATTTACGATTGCATCATATTACCAAAAAGTGAAACATTTTACTGTGCCAATTAAAATATTCAATTAAAGACAACTTAAATATAATTAGCTAAAGCATAATTCTAGATAAAAAACAATATAGTCAAAGTGAGATTGAAAATTATATTCTTACAAACTAAAAACTTTCAAAAAAACTGAAGTTAATCTGATTTGACCTTATGCCATGAAACAGATATCAATTTCATGAATTATTCTCACATTTAAACTCCTCATGAAGTCACATCCGATACTCCAAACGATTATACACTTGTTCATGCGCCATCATAGATAATAAGTTTATACCACCACCACCAACACCATCAAAAGTTAACTATAAAGATATCTTATGCATTGATATGACAAAGTTGCTTGTTATAAGTTCTAACTCATTAGCTACTTTATAGGAAGCACAAAAATTATCATGATTTGTTTAACGAATATCAAATTTAAATCCGTCAAAGCCAAATTCGTCCAAGCCATCTGCATCTTAGTGTTTACACTCGATGAAAGCGTCCAGCAAATAAATAAATTTCCTAAGAAAAGTTAAATTTTATTTTATCATTTATTAGTTAATTATCATTTACAATTTTTAGTGATACAGCATGCCCATGATAATGCCTAGAAAACAGGATGCAATGTATTCTCTATTTCCTGGTACTATGTTTATGTGATTTGGCATAGATCTGGACTAGAGTAGTTCAAGATTGATTAGAGGTTTAAATGACGATCCTTACCTATATGCAAATTTGATATTTAAGGGATAAGAACTTTGGATGTTCATTCACTTGATTGCTACAACAACTAAGGTTGCCTTCTATAGGTGTAAAGCAAAAATGCCATATGGTTTCCCAAGTCCGTCATAAAAATTACAACTCCCGTACAAAAATCTGATGAGCACCTAAATCTTAGTCATAAAAATATTAAGGAATTTGAAGATAATGCGCCCATTTCTGATAATGATTTGAACATGCACAAAACATTAAATTCAAATCCACATGATAAATCATTTATTCTTATTGATGAATATTATTCTGAAAACAGAAACTAAAACTCAGTCTGTAAAGCATATTGTAGAACTTGATTCTTATTCTTTTAGTCATTCACCACCTTCTATTTAAGATTAAGCCCCAGGCATGTATTGTATGATTTGATTCTGTTGTACTGTGTTGAGCGCTTGCATGAATTACAAATTGATTTTCCACAGGTAAAGTTTGCGTAGGTCAAGGTGAGTTCTTATTTCTATTGCCCAAACTTCTATTGTTGTCACAAAATGTTGACCTATAAAAGAGAAGCATAAATAAAGTGTTCTTGAGATGAGAATGCTCAAGTGGATGAGCGGCTTTACAGTTGGAGACAATGTGCGAAATGAATATATCCATTATATTTGTGGAAGGGTTGGAGTAGCTCCAATGGCAGACTAGATTAGAGAGAGTCGCCTTAGATGATTTGGTCGCATTAAACATTGACTATATGATGATCCTATTAGGAGAGTGGATGTTTTAGATTTGAACTTATCTTAATCACTAAGTTGTAGCCGACTCCACTTAGTGGGATAAAAGCTTGTTGTGTTATTGCCCACAATTCTATGGTTAGCATCTTAAGAAGCTACAAATGTTCCAGCAAGAAGAATACAATACTTTGCTTCAAGAGACTACAAGATTATTCTAAAGGAATGCATTGTTTTACCTTTACATTTCCAGAGAGACTACCCCACTTCAGTCTTCAAAGGAGAATAGTTCCAGTTACGGTTAAACAAGGAAGTACTGTCAAAATGCTCTAACCATTTAGCTAATTTATTATGAGCTAAACCTAACGACTCACTAGATAATAAAAAAGCTAAAACAAACAAATTTTCATGCTTTTATACCACCATTATTATTTATGGCAGAATTTCATTATTTGATTTAATTTTTTTTAAATAGTTTGACATGTGATAAATATTTTTATTTTATAAAAGCAAATTTTAGTCTATGAAATGGTTGTAAAATGAGCACTTGCAGAAATGTCAGAAAATACTAATTATAAAGAAACCACAATACAAAATATTATAATAGCAAAAACAAAAATTTCCATGATTTAATAAATCTTGGGAAATGAAAAAAAAAAACATTTTTCCTATTATTGCTCCGCCTAGAAAACAATATTTGAAACCTTTTATTCACTTATGTTTCAATGTCTGGAAGACTACCATTAGAAGTATATAATTACTCAAATAAAAAAATAGGTAACTTTTAGTAGATTAAATCATTATCTTTACTCTTAACTCTTGGGGAATGCCTCCATGAATCCACATTTTCCATTTGCTCTTATTGATTATTGCTAGAGGTGTGAAATTTAATTTGAACTTCATTAAGCTCTCTCTTCTTTTTGAACATCGACATTAACCTTATTGGTCTATCCTTTATTCTTATATGTACAAGTTTTTCACTAACTACCATAATAAATGCTACCTTTACAGTCCATCCCTCGTAATCAGTTAATGTTGAAAACACAACTTCAGCCCCAACTCATACACCGCTCGCACTAGAGTTTCACATCCTATTTCTACATGTAAGGAAAAGAAACTTGGTCTTCAAAAAACAAATAATTTTTATATGAACAGTGATATAATCCAGCCACAATTACAAATGATATTTTGATCATTCGGCAGAAATTTATATAAAAAGTAAAAAAGATAGATGAAAGTATTAAGGAGTACCAGAACGAACAGTTGGAGGACGAACAGTTGGAGTTCAGAATCATATATTCTTCCCCTTGGACTAACCTGAATTGGTTTTCCACTATTTTTTAGACTCCAATTCTTAACCTGAACACAGGGGCGGAACCAGCCTCTTTTTCGGGGTGGGTGGAGTGGCAACTGTCCCCCTAGACCCAACGTGGGAGGGGCTAGGGCAACAAAAGGTAAAGTAATATTTCAGTAGGGGCAAAACTGATATTTCAGGAGGGGCAAAAAGCCAAATTAAGGAGGGGCAATTGCCCCCCTGGACCCTACCTGGGTCCACACCTGCCTGAACATATGACAAAAATAAGAAAACAAAATTCATCCATGATGCATAAAGTTAAAAACTTAAACCTCGAAGAGAAAAATGACTTTCCACCCACCCTGTTAATGAATCTCATAAAAAATCACAGGTATGGACGCAATATAACTACGAATAGCAGAAAAATAACATTCAAAAGAAAAATAAGCAAATATTGGACTGCACCTTCAATGCAAAAATCTTCAAGAAATTTAATCAGAGCCAAAAACACTAATTGTTGTCTGCCGAAGAACTTCAGAAGTCCGGTCAAGACCATGAGAAGCCACCTATTATTTAGCGGACAAATTCAGCTCAGTTGATAAAACAGGGAATTTAAGCTTCACAAACATGTGATGGCCATCCACCATCAATCACAGTGTTAACAGATTAGCTCTATTTTGGGATAAGTTTTATTTATCATTTGTTTATGTCTGGACCTTATATCTTAACTGATATTTTTTTAGGCAGTAGCATGTTAAGCAAATAGACTTTTGGAATAAATATATTAATAAAAGAATGCATCATAGGAAACACAAAATCCACGACAGTGAAAACTTTCATATACCAAATAAGTAAGCGCAGCATAGCGTTCAGTGTTTAAGAACAATGGTTTTCCTCGGCACACATCAATGTCCTGCAACATAAGAAACAGAAAGACAGAAATCAGCAAACATATAATAACTTAACAACTGACCATAAGAATGAACATAGAATGCACTAAATTTCAAAATAGTTCTACACTATTATTAATGGCAAGGCACAAGTCAACCTAACATCTGTTGAGAGTAGTTTTCAATCACATGAGCCCACACAAACAGATGAATTCAATTTTGATAAAAACGATTATAGATCAGATATGTTTGATGATTTTGGCACATTTCATGACAGCAATGTGTAGGTATGAAGCAAACAATAGAACTAGGATATCTCAGCTCTTATTTGACTATACATCATAGAAAAGATCCACACACCTATGGACAACATTTTTCCTGGTGTTGAGATTATAGAAGGGCAATCCACTTCTAGACCTCTACTCTTTCTTCGGGTTTATTTCGGCTATTGGAAAAATCAAATGATAATGTATTTGCATTCATTAAATATGCACATTTGGGATTTAGTCATGAATGATTACAATACACCCATTGATGGTGTTGTAGAGAAAATTACAACTAAGCCCATTTAGACTCCCAACGAGTTGGAACATGGATAGTTCAATGCTATAGCAGTAATTTATGTTGCGCTCTCAAACATGACAAGTATACAAGAATACCCCTGATTTTCATACATAAAGGTAAAAATAAGATAACTTAGTGTGCATTTTGAATAATGATTTTCTCATCTGAATACATAGATCATTCACCTATAAATAGGCGAGTACAAGAAATAGAAAGAGGAAAAAAATTTTCCTACAATTAAGTAATTCCTATAATTACGGAATAAACATAAATACCTATAATTAAGGAATTACCATTTTTATATTATGACTAAATATAACAAGCACTAAATAGAATTAAAGTAAATAATAAGGAGCGTGATTCCACACTCCCCCTCAAGGTGGGTTGCACAGATTGTACATGCCCAACTTGTTGGTTAGCTCATCAAAACTTGACTTAGGGAGAGCCTTGGTGAGAATGTCTGAGGTTTGGTCTCTAGCCTAGAAGGAGTATAGAACAATTCAATGATTCCATTGTCCACCTTCTCTGAAATGAAGTTCCGATCAATCTCAATATGTTTCGTTCGATCATGATGAACAGGATTCTTTGCGATACTGATTGCTGCTTGATTGTCACAGAACATCTTAATAGAATTTTCTCCTATAATTCCAAGCTCCTTGAGAAATCTTTTGATCCACATTCCTTCACAGATTCCAAGTGCCAGTGCTCTGTATTCTGCTTCTGCGCTACTCCGAGAGACCACCGATTGCTTCTTACTTCTCCATGTCACTAGATTGCCGCATACATACGTGCAATACCCAGAGGTTGATCGTCGGGTGGATATATCTCCTGCCCAGTCAGCATCAGTAAAAACTTCTACCTTTTGACTATCATTCCTTTTGAATAATAATCCTTTCCCTGATGCCATCTTTAAGTATCTTAAGATACGGTTGACAG